TTTGGAAACGTTTTTAGAAGAGAATCTTCCTTTCAACAAGAGAGGAAGACCATTTTTCAGAGCCACAGTGCAAAGCACAGGGAAGCAGCAAAGTCCTGAGCTTTGGCCAGGACCTGACCCAGCTTCCACCTTCCAAGCCTGAAGCCCAGTAGTCCAGACTCTCTGCCCCCCACCACAGCAAAGGTTCCAGGGCCCCCGAGGTTGGGGGCTGCCGTTGCCTGGGCTGCATGGACAATATTCTCTTCCCAGAGGGCTGAAGGATGGCCGCAAGGGCAGGGAGCGAGGCTGAGGCACGCAGGGACACAAGCTCTGCTCGTGGGAGGCTCCGTGAGAAAGGAGTGAAATCCTGCCTTGTCTGATTTGGAGCCTTAACAGGTTTGCTGCTGTTGAAAGTACCCAGGAAAGTGGGATTGGTGAAGGCGGCAGAGGGGAGGAGAGAGCAGGGTGATGCCTTTAGGTGGTGCTGAGAATCCCGGAGCAGGTGCGCCGTCCCAGCCAGGGTCCCAGGTTCCAGCCCCCTTGCCAGGCTGAGAACCCACCCAAGCACTCCGCTCTCTCTCCTCCATTCACAGGACTTGACCCGCACACTCGCGTCTGCCTTGTCACACCAACCCCTTTGTGCCCAACAATGTGGGGGGTGGAGGAAGCGGCTTCTCCACCACTGTGGCTCCCGGGCAGTGTCTGTGGGGCCAAGGCGAGGTGCAGTGTGGTGGAAAGAAGCCCCCTCCCCACAAAGGTGACACTCTCCTGCCTCTCAGGGTGGCCAGGCCAGAACAGATCTATCAGGACAAGTGAGGAAAGAGAGATCGAGCTGGTGGTGGCATCGGCTGTCTCAGTCTCCGAACCTGACACAAGCCTGGCCACGACCGATGCACCACCCATAGCTCACCATTGAGGCTGGCAAGCAGGAGCCACTTGCCCTCCCACCACGGCCCCCCAGGCTCAGCCCCCAGCCCACTCAAGGCTCCCTGAACGTATGCACACGCACACACCAGCAGGCGGCCTGCCCACGCTAAGCACTGACGCCTTGCTACTCCCCACCTCTGAAGAGAGCAGACTTGATGCTTCCAGCCTGCCAAAGTGTGGCGAGCTTCCAGCACCAAAAATACCTCCCGCGATCCGAGGGGCTACCGTACTGGCATCTTATCTGTGGGGCTGGAGCTGCTGCTGTGACAGAGAGGGCTTCCCTGGGAGGCAGCCATTTGCCCATTTGGTTCTCCAGGTGGCAAAGCCTCAGCGCTCGCTTTGCAGGGTCAGGGCAGGCGACTCCTGGGCTGAGACGTGCAGCCTGCAGCAGCTCGGCCGGCTTCGCCTTGCTCAGGAAAAAGACCATTTCTCATCAGACAGCTGCAGTTCCATTCGAGAATGCCGTGGCTCCGTGCATCCCCACTCCTCCTGTCCTCCTGCCAGAGTCGCCCAGCTACTAGCGAGTAAAGAACAGATCCAGGCAGCGGACTAACAACTCAGCTGCCACCGGTGGTCTGCCTAGGCTGAGGTTCCGACACCATGCTCGGAAGAGGAGGCTGCCTGGAGGAGGTGACTGCAGGAAGGCTAGCAAGGAGAACCGTCCTGAGCTTGCTCTGATTTTCCAAAGATGAGGATTTGGCATAAGACAGATGTTTCCCCATTCACTCACGCACTCAATTGATTATGAATTGTGTAGTATTCGCCCACGTTGGGCTGAGTTGCAGCTGGCCCTCGTGATGGAGATGAGGCACTGGCCAAGGACTGGTCAGTCCCCAGGGTTTGACATTATCTGAACAAGATGAGGAAGACTACTAGAGGGTCGAACAGATGCAAGAAAACTTGAGTTTGGCAGATATAGACGAATTTCAGAGCGTGTAGTCTGTGAGATTAGCTTTTTTTTTTTTTAACTAGGTGCTGGGAGTGGGTATCTAGCTTTGCGTTTAAGAGAATGGTAAAGATGACCGATCATGTCCTAGACATCTGAGCACCTAGGTTTGCTTCCCAGCTCCAACTCCTGACTCCAGCTTCCTGCTGATGCAGCTCCTGCAATGCAGCAGGGACAGCTCGAGTCATTGGGTTCCTGCCACCCAGGAACTGGACTGAGACTGGATTGAGTCCCCAGCTCCTGGCTTCTACCCTGGCCCAGTCCTGGCTGGTTGGGGCATTTGGGGAGGAAACTAGCAGATAAGAGTACTTCCCACCCGTTCTGAAATAAAAAGTTGTGGTGTGCTGAAGTGGTAATTCTGTACCATATATAGTCCCATTAAAGGAAGAGAGCTCATAAATGTGAACTTAATATCTGCAGAATAAATGAATGAATACGTGCCCGGTGATCAAAAAGGGATTATCTGAGCATCTTTAAAGACCAGAGGCTCACTATCTCAGAGGATGTTATATCAAAATACAAACCAAGAACCGGAATTCGCTTAATTCCCAAAGTATATGATTATAATTACGTGTTTTACTAAGATCCGTATTTCTTCTAGCCTATTAACACTAAGAGTAACAGTGCCTCCATGTTAATGATATTGTTAATTCTCCAAATACTTTTACATACATCTGTTTTAATTCCCTCAGCTCTCTGGAGAGTGAGGGTAGACATTCCCAGGCAGATAACCAGAGACCTCAAGGAGTTAGGGAGCCTCCACCAGGGTGCCTGCCAGTGGAATGGGTCAGCGCGCCCACATCCTGTCCAGGGGGAAGGCGGAGAGTGGGTGGCACTGTGCCCCACATCTGTGCAGTGCTCTCTTGTCTGTGAGCTGCGTTCCTCCTTCCTTCCTCTCCCTTCTCCCCCTTTATTCTGGAAGGGGAGAGAAAAACTGGGGTGACACCTGGGGTGTATGGGGGAGTCTGTTTCATTTTATGCTTCCTTGCTGTTCATTCTAGAATTTATCTCTGATCCCACAAGGATGGGGAGTAATATCAGAAAGTTATTCAAATTGTACTGGAACCTGCCTAACAGGTGATTCAGTTGCGGCATTCAGCTGCTGTGACCTCTCTCTCCCAGAGTCACTCTGCACTTGACTTAGGACCTGAGGAGTCTAAGTTTCAGCTGTGAGCTTGACCAATCAGATATTGCCAACCCTCACGCTGGTGGCCTTATGGGTAGCTGACCAGACTGAGGCTCCACACACGGAACAAATGGAATAATGTTCCAGAATCTTCTAGCATCTTCTTTATGAATAGAACTTTGTATATCACTGATGGCCTTTATTTAAAAAAAATATTATCTATTTTTTACTTTAAAGGCAGAGAGAGAGAGAGAGACTGACAGAAAGAAATCTTCTGTCCACAGGATCACTTCCCAGATGCCAGCAGCAGCTGGGGCTGGGCCAGACATAAGCTCAATCCCAGTGTCCTGTGTAGGTAGCAGGGACCCAACTACTTGAGCATCTGCTGCCTCGAAGGCTATACTCAGCAGAAAGCTGGACTCAGGGGCAGAGCCAGGACTGGGACCCGGACACTCTGACATGGGATGAAGAAGCTCTAAGCCGTTTTACCGGCTGTGTCAAACATCTCCCGCCCCCGCATCTTCTTAAAATCACCTACATAAATAATTTCAGCTTAGAATCAGTTCACCCAAAGATAAACATGATCTACTTAATAATAAAGGGTCAATATGACGATGGCCTGCGGTGTTACCAACAATAACTGCTTAAAAAGTTCAAAGCAAGAAGCAGGGACAGGTGGCATCTTCGTGACCCCACAGGACTCAATCAGGAGCAATCTACAAAAGTTACAGGGACGCACCTTTTATTTAATTAGGATGCACTCTTGAAGCCAAAAGCTCAGCGCTGCCTATGTTGGAGCAGAATCTAGACTCCCGCAACTCTGTAAGGCCGGAGGGCCCTTGGAGGTGACGGCTGAGTTCCAGCCTCCGCCGCCCCCACCCTGGCCTCCGTGCTCTGAATTCCGCGCGGCGCTCTTAGGGTTTCCGGAGGGACACTTTGGGGTCTTCTATTTATACCACTGAGCACCGCGGCCACGAGGGGGCAGTAGAGGAGGCCGCTCGGAGCACCTGGACGTGTGGAGTAAACTCGCGTGCGCTCTCACGGCGAAGAGACCACGCAGATCCCGCGACCTCGCTGGGGTCCAGCTCGCAGGCCCCACGGGAGAGCCGCGCCCCGGGGATGCGGGGACACGGCCACGGGACGGCGCGCCGGCGGTGGCCGGCGGGGCCCCGACGTGTGATTGCCACTGGAATCCAGAAACCTGTGCTCTCAGGTTATTCAAATAAGTTATCTTAACCGCCAGCGCTCTGTTTCCCCCTGCCAGGCGGGCTCCCGGGGCCCGAATCAAACGAGCTCCCTCCCGCGTCCCCACCGCCCCCATCCTAGGCGGGACTTGCCGGAAGCCCTGGGTCCCTGACCCAGCCGGAAGCTTGGGATTGAGAAAGCGGCGCTCTTCCTCGCAGGCTGAAAATAATCATTAATAGCAACAACTTCAAACCTCACCCGAGAGCCAGTTGGCTTTCTGAAATCCAAAGACGGAAATGTGCACCCCCATGCCCCCCCCCCCACGCCCGGAGACCCGTGTCTCAGCCGCCTCGGCCGCGGTCTGCTCCTTCCGACTCGCCCCTCACTCCAATCCAAGATCATAGGGCGGCGCGCAGGACGCGCGCGGCGACAGGTGATGCCCTCACCCGCTCTGGCCTGCGCTCCCGAAGGCTGAGCCGCCGGGGCTCGCCCAGGCCCCGACCCGCCTCCCCAGGCCCCGGTGGCGTCTCCGGCCCCCTCCCGCCCCCCAGAAGGTGGCCGGCGGGTCCGCGCTGCGCCGGGCACCGGGCAGCCTCCGGTGCCAACCCTGCTCCTCCTTTGTTGACAGCTCGCGCAGGGGGAAGTCCGTGCGGGCGGGGCCGGGGGCAGGGGGCCGGCGGCGGCGGCGGGCGGTGCCAGCGGCGGGCGCGGCCCCAGCCCGGGCGGGCGCGGCGGCAGCGAGCGGGTTAAGGCGCGCGGCCTCTATGATAATGAGCTGCGCGGTAATATAGGGAGGCCGGCGCCGAGGGCTCGCCGCCGCCGCCGCCGCCGCCGCCGCCGCCGCGGGAGCCCGAGCTGCCGGGCGCAGCGGGTCCGCGCCAGACTGGAGCGGGAGGGCGGCGGAGCGCAGTCGCCGGGGACCTGGCAACCCGGAGCGCCGGCGATCGGCAGAGAGACCCCGCGAGCAGGGCAGCGGCCAGGAGCGCGGGCGCCCAGAGAGCGGAGCGCAGCCCGGAATCAGAGCTCCGGAGAGCCGGGCTCCCGGAGGAAATGGGGCTGTGAACGACCCGGCGAGCCAGAAGGGAAGGAAGCGCCGCGGTGGCTGATGTCAGAGGAGCCCGGAAAGTGGCGCTGGAAAAATCTGAAGACAGCCGGGGGCTCTGCTGCTTGCCCGGGAGGGACCTCGCCGGCCACCCCCACACGCCCCCTGGGCGGCAGCCACCGGCCGGGCTGCCGCGGGGCGACGGAGGACGGAGGGACGCGCGGAGCCGACGCCGAGGGGCCACTCCAGGAATACAGATAAGTGGCTGCCGGCTGGACGTGGGTCTTAATGCATTCGGACTCCATGTGGATCTGGTCGTCCCCGTGATTCGGAGCTGCGGGCAGGAGAGGGGCGCGCGCAGCCCTCGGCAGCCGGCGGCCGAGGCACACGGAACAGGCACGGAAGGGCAGACCGACGTCGCCGAGCTGGGTAAGCGGCGGCGCGGCCGGGCGCCCTCCGCCCTCTCCCCAAACGCGCGCACGCCCCCACGGGCGGCTCCTCCCGCGCCCGGCCTCTCCCGGGTCCCGGCCCCAGGCGCCCGGGCTCGGCCGCGGTGGGCGAGTCTCCGCGCGCGGGCTCGGCTACTTTGGCTACCGGAACGCGGCGTGCGCGCGAGTGCAGTGGACTCGCAGCCGCCGCCGCCTCTGCCCGCCGGGCTTCCCCGCCGGCCGCCGGCTGCTGCCTAGCCCGGGACTGCGGGTGGCGGCAGCGCTCCGTGGCGCGCCTGCCTGCACCGAGCACCTGCTGGCACGCTGCGGCTCTGGGGAGCCTGGGGTGGGAGGGAGGGCGCGGCGAGGTTGCCCCGAGAGCTGGAACCCAGGCAGGGCCTCCGGGGCGCGAGCAAGACCAGCCCCCGGCCACTGTGGCCCGAGATCCATGTGGGGGCGTTCACTCCGGTGCCAGAGTCCCTGGCGGCCGCTGGCCCTTCCTTCGCGATCAGGGACTTGGAATCAGGGGCAGAGGAATGCATCAGTGGCGCGAGTTGGGGAAGGCCCAGAGAGCGAGTGCAAGGCTCCGAATGAGGGGGTCGTGCTTCAGCGTAGCCCCCAGTGGGAGCGCTAGGCTGGAAGCGGGAGTTTGCCTCGGGTTGGAGTAGCCTGCGAACCATTTGCGACTGCCTCCCTCGGTGTGTTCTGGCTTGCCCCACCCCACAAGTGATGTAGAGGTCCTAGAAAATCCTGGCCCCTTCTTACCCACCCCACAGGTAGTTTCTGTAAACGTTCATCACGGTCTAGACGGCCACAGGGAGTCACCGGAAACTGCCATTCCAGGGCGCTGAAAAAAAAAAATGTCCACCTGTTTGGCACGACCCTTGCCCTAGGAGCTGCCTGTGCAAACAGAACTCAGCTCCCGGGAAAGGAACAGGGGAGATAATGGGGGAGGGGAACCGGGTAGCGGACTTGGGATTCCAGGTCAGTTAACGGTCCAAAATTGAGAACCCCCAAGAACTGGCTATGGGAATATGCTCTGGTCTCCTGGAGGGACCCCAGACTCTAGGGAATGTGGCACTGGTCGTGGGTTTGCAGGGACCTAAGGCAGGATGAGCTGGGGTCAGGTTGCTGTAGCTCCTTAGTCTGAAGGCAGCCACAGACATTTGGGGTGGGTTACTCCCCCCAGTACTCAGGAGCAGAGGAGACAACGGGTGTATGGGTGACACAGCTGAGTCCCCGGGCTGGGCGCCGGTGCGCGCTTGCGGAGCCGGTGTCGGGTTCAGCTCTCCCCTCCCCACACAATAGCAGACTCCTGTCTCGCTGGGCTGCTTTCCCAGACCTTGAAACTTCACTCTTCCCTCTGGGCTGGCTTTGGGTTCTGGGGCCTTCCTCTGAGCGCCGACAGAAGAGACAGCCCTGGCGGGGGGAATTCAGCTTTTCCTAATTGAAATGCACAACTGTTGTGTGATCACCCCAGAAAGCTCTGGAGTTGCTGGCAGCCCCCTCGCCTCTGACCTCCAGGCAAGAAGAGAGAAGAATTCATTAACTTTCCCCTCTCTACACGGTGCACCTTTTGAACCAATCACCTGTGATCTCCTGCAGCAGCCTGCAGGGGTAGGAGGCTGAGGACAGAGGGGAGGGACCTCAGGATCAGGGTGGACTCTGCCCAGACACCCTAGGGACGGGGCTGCCTTCCTGTCCCCTTCTTCCACCTGGCGTTACCACCTCTGTTACCTCCAACTCGCCCTGCTCCAGAACTTGGCCCTGCTGCGGCCAGCCAGCATTACCTAGAGCCAGTCCCCACTGTCGCACAACCCATCCTTTTCAGGGACCAGCCATTCAAAAAGGGAGGGCAGTGCACACGGCCCTCTGCTCCCTCACTGTCCCCTGCAAATTGCATTAGGACGGGGGCAAATTGGCTTGCAGAGCAGTTGAATGCCGTTTGGAGCCATGTGGAGGGGCGTAGTTGCGGAGAAGCTGTAGGGTCTGGAAGAGTAAAGGTCCATGTCCAGGGCGCAGAGTCCGGCCAGGCGAATCCACGCTGGCCTTTCTCTTTGCAGGGTGGAAGGGGTCTCTCACAGCCTGGAACCGGGCCTCTGAGCCCCATTCGGAACGGAGAGTAAATGGTGAGGTTGCCCGTCCATGGGCCAAAGGCATGTCATTGCAAGGCTGGCTCCCATGTCACAGCTGGCCCGCCACCACCCCTGTCTCTGGAACACCAGGGAACTTTCGCCCTCCCACTCTCTTGACCGTCAGAAGCTGCAGAGGTGGATGTAAAAGTTCACCATCTGTTTTCCAGAAGTCCGCGCTCAAAATGAGGTTAAAAAGAAAACCGGTAACGAACAGCCCCTTCTCCGCGAGCTCCCTTTCTCGCGAACAAATACTTCTGATTATTCAGCTGATGTTTATTTCATGGGCATGGTGGACGCAAACGCGGGAGCGGGAGGGGAAACGGGTGACAATGGTTAAACGGACGAGGCAGCCGCCGGCAGCAGCCCGGACGCACCCGTTCAGGTACCGTGGAATATTTATGGCGCTGGAGTTGTCGCTGTTCGGGGCCTCACAGTCTCTGTCCTACCACGTTTTCTATGATTGCTTCCCCAAGATATAATTTGGTGTGGGGGAGGCAATCCGTGTCTCCAACATCACCCCCCCTACACACACCCCCAGCTGTCTTCCTGCATTGCCACACAGCTGTCTCCGCATACACAGACTGGGGCACAAATGGAGACCAGCAGCTCAAGCCAGCCCCCCACCCCACCCCCATTCTGATCATAAAGAGACTGGAGCATTGTGTTACAGTCTGTTAACTAGAAATAATTCAGGACTGTCCATAGGGAAACTGGTAGGAACAGGCTTCGAGGTGCTGGGTTTTACAGCTCATGTGCACGCCATGCCCCCCACCCCCACCCTCACCCTGGGCAGTCTGTTATCAATTCATTATATGTGAATATTCTGTCCTCCCCTTCACATATGCTCAGTTCAAACAATGATGAATGGAACCATTCCCTTATGGGAAACAGTTTTTTCACTTAGTTACAAAGATTTCATGCCTGATTAGAGTAAATGAGGGCTGGGTGTGTGTCCACTTCTTTTCTGGTCATTTCTAAAGGTGAGCCCTGCAGAGACAGAGAGAAAGGGGTCAAACAGCTGGTCCCAAGATGCTCGCCCGCAGGGGTGGCGGTGAGAGGGGATACCCCTCCCTCCTCGGCTTAGCCCCAGGCTCCCTGGGCCCCCTCCCCTGGCATCTGGGCATATGGAACCTCTTTATCTAGCTCTGCACTGCTCCATCTGGAATTCGAGGGAAGAAATAGAGGCGAGAAAGTTCTTTGTTGGGGAGCAGGGTCCCTATTGGGGAAGGGAGTGGGGAGAGCCCGGTTTGGGCCGGAGCACTGCTCAAGTTCCAGCTCCTGCAGTTGGTTAACCATTAACCCCTGCCCTGCCCTGGCCGTATCTCCGCCTGCTTGAAAGCATATCTCTGGGAAACCCAGAGAGCCAGCAGGTGTTCCCCCCTGTCCTTCCCAGTCCCAGGCATGGGCCCTGGCCCCACCTACCTCTTTCCCTCCCTCTCCTCCCCACCCCCAACCCCAGACACTCTGCTCACCCCATGCCAGCTGTCCCTTCACCCTGGCAGGCACTGTCAGTTGTCTGAGTGGCTGGGAGGCCCAGGAGCAGGCAGGCTGGTGGGAAGGACTGATGGAGTGGCACCAGCTGGTTTCACTCCGAGCTCAGGTACACACAGCTTCAAAGGCCGGAGTGTGCTTCCTGGGGGGAGGAGGGGGGGTTCTTCTGCAGCAGCCCTAGTCTTCCCAGGGCTTCTCTCTGGCTCCAGTTCCTGGGTCCCTGTGCTGACCTTCTGGGCTCAGGCCATTTGAGCCTAGGTCTTTCCCAAGCATCTTGAGCTAGGCAGACTCCTGGCATTTAGAACCTCAGAGAAGACCCGCAGGTGCACCAAAGTGCAGCTCCGGATGCAGGAGCTGGCACACACGTGGCCGGGCGGAAGTCGAGATGTAGACAAAGTCTCGGATAAACAGAGAGCGGCAGGGAGACAGAGCGGGAAGATAAAGGCAGGGAGGCCGGCAAGGACAAGCCGAGCCCCAGCACGGAGGGAAAGCTGGAGAACAGAGCCACCAAGGCTCCGCTGGCCTGGGGCGGCTCTGGGCTCCACGGGGACGCCGCAGTATCAGGTTCTCTCCACTAGAGGGGACTCGTGAGAATCAGGCTGGGCTGAAACAGTGGCTTTTGTGCTTTTGGTGTTTTTTTGTTTTTTTTTTTTTTTTTTTGGGGGGGGGAAATAGCTGAGATGCATTAGAAATTGCCAGCTGTCACTACCCAGAGACCGCAAGTGGTGGGGTCCTATTGCTCAGGGACCTCCGGGCCCCCGTCTGCCTGCAGGGGCTGGGAAGGCGCCCGCAGCCTTAAGCCCTGTGAGCAGGGTCTTGGGCCGCTCCGGAGAGGCCTGCCCAGACAGGACAGGACGCCTGCCCTGGGGTGGGAGGGCGGCAGGCCGGGGCCTTCTCAACTTAGCGGGCGGTCCAGCCCACTGGCTTTTCTCGGTCAGCAGCAGAGGTTCAGCCCATCCCCAAGGCGCCTTCCCAGGCCCTCCCGGTGTCCGTAAGGGCAGATTTTCCAGGCACTCTCAGGTGGTGGCAAAACTGCTCCCGAGGAGACTTTTTGTAAAGAAGGGCTTTGCGAGACGGAGCGCGTGGCAACGTTGTATCACTGATTTAATCTCTGTCTTCATACTCTCTGTGGGAGCCTTTCTCTGAATTATAATTCCCCTTTTCATTTCAGTAGAGGACAATATTGAGAGAGAGAGAGAGAGGGAGGGAGAGAGGGAGAGAGAGAGATCGAGGGAGCACAGAGTCCAGAGGCCTTTCTCATCCAAGGAGATAATAAGTGTCCGCCGTTGGAATGAAAAAATCCGGAAGCAGGGGGCCTGACATGCTGTGTGCCCTGATGCTCAAACTCCATCTCCACTTGGCTCCAGTTTACCTG